TTTTGCTTTCACATTGGTTTTGGATATTTCAGTCTACTTTTAAATTGCAACTAATGATTCTAGCAGCAATTACCATGCTATGAGCATTTCTAAACTGCTTTTTGCTATTTTTGGCTATTTTTTTTTAATTAAGAAACTAAACACTTTCACATCTGCCTGTGGTGCATCACTTTATTTTGACGTAATAAAATGAGTGTAAAGAATGACTTTCTGAAAAGATAGCTATACAATAATGATTTTGTATAGCTTACAACATTTTAAGGCTTTGCAGCTCCATATTAGAACTATTACTGCAATGACCAGAATGTAAGTGTAAATACATTTTGTGTATGTAAACACATGACCCTTTTTTGAGGAAAAAAAAATCCTGCAGAGAAATGAGGAGGGAAAAAAAATATCCTGCAGAGCATTTAGAAGGGAAAAAAATATCCTGCCCACCAGATTGCTAGAAAAAAAAATTCTTGCCGACCAAAAATCACCCACCCCCCCCGTCAAGAGTTAAATGGTCGGCCCCTAATGATGTTCAAAGGTCGTTTCACGTGAATTCACATGTAACCTTGACTATGAACGTGACAAGCTACACAGTTTTCGATAGTAACAGCTTTTCATAATAACATTGAAATTTTTCCTTCAAATTAGGATGGTTCATTAGTTAGTTTTTCTAAACAAATTGTTACTTTTGCTCTGACAGGCGTAAATAATAATAACAATAGTTTTGTATTTTGAAAAATCGCTGAATAAACACGGGAGTCGGTCTTTCCTGTTAGTTAAATATTTTTACCGTGACCTTTCTTTACTGCTGTGTCTGCGAGGCTAGAACATAACTAAGATTGTTATTCCAGTAAAATACGATGTATAAAAAAGAAAAGAGACAACTATTATTGTGATTGTTCAAGAATCGGGTATAAAGCGGGTATAAATCTATAAAATCCCGCATTGTCTTTCGAGTCGTGACAAGGCATTACGTATCACGTACTAAAAATAAATACGCGAAAGCTAACCGAATCCACATTTGTCCTCAACATTTCATCGATAATATAGAAAGAAAATACTTCCGTTTATGCGCTTAAACGACGACTTTACAACAAGATGATCTATTCAAAAGAAATAATGGTTTTGGGGCGGCCCGGGGGGCGGGGGCACTTCCTTATAAGAGGCTAATGGGGAGATATGCAGCTGGATGGGGTCGCATTTTCACGACTGGATTGACTATAATGGGGTTGCATTTTCAAAAGAGTTACTAGAATGGGGCCGCACATTTTCGGATTTTTGGGGTAAGAGAGTTGTTCATATTTACGGTTAGCAAACGTACCAGGATATTTGTACTCTAGGTGAAAAGTAAAGTGTTCTTCGTTCAATTTATTAAAAAATGGGTCAATTCATTTTTTGATGACCTATTTAAAGGATTGATAAGGTAGATAAATAAATAGAAAGTGACTAAGTTGGGATCGCAAAAATTACGTATTTGCCCAAGAGTGACTAATATGGGGTCTAGGGGCTCTGAGAGGCCAGCGGCACATACCCAGCAAAAATTACCCCACGTAACCCTCCGGGGGGCACCGCAGTTTCGTTGAAATCATAACAGTTTTCCTGGAAAGCTCCACGGGATCTCAGTCAATCTTAATAAGCAAATTTTCTTTTCAACCTAAATCAAAATGATTAGTAAAAAGAATTGTGCCCTTATTTTTGACCCCAATTTTCTTTTTTATAAAAAATACATAAACAGACCAGAATCTTACTTTTCCATTTAAAAAACATGAAATATTCGGCGGCGTTGCCCATGTCTCTCATGGCACGAAAACTTACTTTCATATGACAACATGCGGGGTTTTTTTTTTCGTACGCTCAGGAGGTCAAAGGGATGTGATTTTTCATGAAAAAAATATTCACAAAATTCTGCTTGACTTGTTAAGAAAATAATTTATTTAATTTTTAATAATTAACTAACAGCTCATTGGTTTATTAATTTGGGCGACCAACTTGGAGGCCCGGGCACCCCAGCTAAAAATGCTTGGGGTGCCCGAAGGGCTGAATTTTAAAAATGGTGTTTTAAAACTTTTTTTAAATTTTAAAATGATGTTGAAGTTGCAAAAGTAGACATAAAGGTGATTAGATGACAAAAGCGCTAAAAAATCACATAAAGTGTGGTGAAATGTTAAATGCCGTTCAAGAACGTAAACGCTGCAACAGACTTGTAATAATTCCGAGATGAAATAACATTCGATCCATTCCAAGAATTAATTGGGGATCATTTCGGGGTCGACGTGAAGAGAAATGGGGATCATTTCGGGGTCGATTTGGGGATCATTTCAGGGTTGGGGATCATTTCGGGGTCGGGATCATTTCGGGGGCTGAACAGTTCTGACTTTTGGAAAGTGCCCTAAGATAATGGACGAAAGATCTAAAAAATAAAGAAAATTGATACTTATTAACAATGATTTACATGCCATAAAAAGTCTCTCAAAACCTACCCCTTTTACACCTTTCTTGAGTTTGTCATCAATAAACAGTGACAAAAATTCAGGTGATTTGCCATTGAGGTTGAGAAAATGTTCAAATTCCTATAAGGAAAAAGATCAATACATAAAAATATATAAACAACAAATCCAGGGTTAATACAAAAAATTGCAACCATTTTTTAAAGGATTTTTCCAGGACTTTTCAAAGAAATTAGACTTTCAAGGACTCCCTACCAGGAATGTAATTTCCCAGATTGTACAAAAATGCACATTCCTAATCCATTCTAACAGGACTTTAAGGATTGCTCCACTAACTTCTCTACATTTTTCAGTTCACTTGTCTTAAATTGATATTTCCTTAAAAATTAAATTTCATTGCAAGTCCTTGAAACGTCCTTGAGTTTTCTTCAGCTTTGAATGTAGCACCCTGGAAAGTGTTTCTTAACGCTTTTTGCATGGCTAAGACAATATAAATCATAGCTCAGAGAAGTTACAGGGGATCTACATAAAGCGCTATGGAATTCAAGTATATCAAGCATGAGATGCAGTGTTTCATCACCAGACGAAACACTGAGAAGAGAGTTGAAAATATGACGCGCGGAGGAGTAGTTTTGACAAACTTTGAGGTGTTTCATCTGGTGATGAAACACTGTGTCGAATGCTTTATATTACTTCTAACAGGAAATGATTTTAGAAGGAGAAATTAGGGATGCAAAAATGAGCAGTTTTTTATCTGATTTCCAAACACTCATTAAACTTTTATTTTCTTTGTATTTTCCTTAACAATTATTAATGAGTTTGAGAAGAACGTTTCAAGGACTTCCCCTAAAATTCACGGACTTCTTAAGACTGTGCAAACACTAAAATCACTGCTTTTATTTGCACGGGCGAGTAGTAAAAGTAAGGAGGAACAAGGAGGTCTGAAAGATAATTGACTGGCCTATTTTAAGGTAATTCCCTTGTTTTGCACTGCGCACCCTCTACTGCGCATAACATTGCCACATCCAAGATGGCGGCGGTTCTTCACACCAGCGCGAAAAGAACAAACAAGGGCCGCTTTTGCAGAGCTAAAGCTTTTATTTGCAATAATAATGCCACAGATCGGCCGACAGCTTCCTGGTTTGCTATGGAAAGACAAGAAAATGAAAGAAATGTGCGTGATCCCGAAGTCTGCAGTGATTTTTCACTTCGCGGCCGTCCAGTTGTGGAATTATTAAAATGTACCGGCTGAGGCTTTGGATTATGGGGGCTGTGAAGCCTGTGAGACAGCTCTACGGCTCTCCAACTGCATTAACAAGCCAGTATCTGGCCTGGGATCGCTACTGTACATATGTTGTTCAATCTCCGAGAGTGGAGAGACGAATATTTCTGGAACAAATAAGACACACCGTAGCACCAGAACCACGCGAGGGAGACCAGTAAACACGAGGTCTGCTGCTGAATTCCCATTTTGCTGTGTATAGAAGCCAAACAAGCGAACATATGAAGAATAGGAATCAATAGTCTTTTCTTCAAGTTTCTTTGTCAAGCATTATTGTGCAAAAGCAAAAAAATCGAACCCTAGCTAACTGGAATTAAACAGAACGCCGACGCTACCAAATGGTCCAAAATAAAGATTCATAACTCCAAAATCTCATCAAATCTTGACTTACCTCATTCCTCGGTATTTAATGTAATCTTTTCAAGCTTGAATTTCTGTGTTGGCGATATCAAACACAGAAAAACAACCGAAAACAAGCTTGATCTCGAGTGCTTACTTCGAACACGATAGGCGTTATTTTGTTTCTCGCCCCAGTCCCCGCCGCGCCAATTATCCATCCTGACTGCGATCTCAAAACCATGTCCACCTGTCACAGCAGTTCGTAAGGAAACAAGCAAAATGTGGGTACTTCTGGGTACTTCTTAGCCTGTACAATATTCAGGACTTCATTTTGCTGGTGTAAGGCCCACATTTGGGAGATTTCAACATATATTCCAAAAAATCTTGAATATTCATGACCTGGTTGTGGGTCACTGAACACTTTGTGATGGGAAGACTAATTGAAACCATGAAAATAAATGTTTCTATGTGGAAACTTCGCTCTTAAGCCATTGCAAATCGGAGAAATCATGTCGAATAACGAAATAATGTAATTTTTTTTGTTTTTACTGGAAATCGAGTGAGAAAAAAGCCGACGAGAAAACGACCTTATTTCAAGATGGAATCTGCTATGACTGCGATATTGCGTGATGCTTCTGGAAAAATGCATCATGGGATACTATTCGATCCTCCGTGAAGTAGTAACTTCTCGACCTACCAAAGAAATTGCTTGCTTGAACAATCTGTCATTACTGAAGGAATTATTCAAAAAGTGATCAAATCGATCCTTGAGGTCAAGAAGACTCTGCAATAAAAATACATGACTCGAGTGAGAAATCAACATTAGACAAAATCAATGATACCAGTATTTTCATTTATTTACTTATTTACTTTGCCGCAGAAAACAAAATCCTTTGGAGTCACCACTCAAATGAAACTGCTTTAGCGAGACAAGTCCTAACCTGAATGTAAGTGATAGGATTTTTACAACTCTCCCCTTCTTCCTCTATAACAAGAGCTTTTCCTTGTTCACCTAGGTACCCCCTCATACAGTGACACACTGTCTTTAGCCCATCTTTAACTCTGGTGAAGAGACGGTGCATTCTGGCCAAATCTACACAAATAGAGCAAGACGTATGTTAATAGAAAGATTCACAGATACAACAAATTTTTAAAAAAGTTCTCCATTTACACATGTATTTGACCTACTGTACAATGTTTCCAGAGATGATGCAACAATTTTCAAAGTGGAGGAGGGGATTGGCATCCTGCCCTGCCCTACCCTCTCATCCTCTCCCCTTCCCCCTCCTCCAAATTTCTTAATCGTCTCTAAACAATGTTACTTTTATTTGCCAGAAAAAAATAAAACGTACTTTTCATAAAGGAGCATAAGCTTCATTAGTGAGCGTAAGCAATGAGAACGCTGAAGTCCCGGACGTCATGAATAGCAACTGGAAGTTCCATGTATCGCTTGATGGAGTACTTACGTCTCACACAACGAATCTGAATGCCTTTGTTTTCACTCCCGCTGTACGAATTTGTCGAGGCAAGACACTGAAAGAGAGAAACTATCAACTTCCTGTTGCCATTTTTGACGTCCGGGACGTCAACGTTCTCGTTGCTTAAGGTCCCTATTATTCCTGCTATTACCAGACCTTTCAACAAACCTTCCATTTTATTGTGCTTGAGCATGTGAATAACACCAGAATTCTCCATTTCAACCACTGCCTTCATGTGCTTGTGGATCTGCAATTCCTCTTCAACAACCTGCATGAAACAAACTTACAGCACTGTTCGACATTTCTGAGAAAATTAAAAATTATCTCATTACAGGTAAATTCTCTTGAAGTTAGTGGTTTGACAGACTATTTTTTTTTCTATTTTGTGAAATATTGACAAAAATAGTCAGATGACTAACTGGTTTGACTTATATTTCCCCGATTCTGATTGGCTAAAAGCAAACGTTTAATTCACCATAACCATTTACTGATGACCAAATTTGGAAGAATTTTGTGCTTACCGAGGAAATGACGTCAAAAATGCAGCGTTTTTGCAGGTTAATGCACCGTTAACCGAGAAGACCTGGGGACGAGGTTGAGTTGTTTTGGTTGTGAACTTGAAAAATGTTCGTTTCAAGAGTACGAACTAGGTGAAAATACAGCTAAAAACATGGCAAGAACAGCAAGAAGACAACTCAAAGGGCGACATCTGCTATTTGGAGAATATTTGCAGAGCTGAACAACCCTAAATGTGCACTATCGAAGATGAAGCTTAACATCGATGCATCGATGGAGGTAAGCATGTTTTAGCCATGTTTTTAAACTAGGAATTATTTTGAATGAATAAGAACACAATTATTGAATTCGGCTTTCGTATCATAAGAACAATTATGCAGATCTCGGAGGGGGGTCATCTGCCTTGGCCTACGGCTTCGACGGATAACACCCTCCTCGATCTCCATATTAAGATACTCAGCCTCATTCATTAATTGTTAATTATTTACATAACTGTTGATCAAATAAAGTGTCACTGGCACTAAGAAAGGCAATATTTCATTCTGTCCAGACACAAAATATATATTTTTACCTTAACAATGAGCTCTTCAGTTGTAGGATTAAGGTAACGCTTTGCTCTCTCGGACTCCTCATTTATTCTAGCTTCTACCTGTAGGATGGATATTGAAAGTTGAAACATAGTTGTTGTTTTTTTTCAAACTGCAGCTAACTAAAGATAAACAGTACATTTAATTTTTGCTCATTTAAATAATTATTCAGACTAACAGACCTTCTGCATATAAACTGATGCACTGTTTTCTGCGAGAAACCTCTGACCCTCTAACTGTTAACACAAACAAGCACAGTGAAGTCAATAAACAACAACTGAAGTAACAAGTTTCTTTCACTGACAATAAGAAACACGTCTGAAAAAGAAGATCATGAACGTGTTGATCAACAAACTTGCTGTCACTTTGGCGAGTACATCAACACATAGATACAGCAATGCAACAAGTAGACTACACTGTTTACGTCCCATTTTGTCTAAATTGTATGGTGATGAATGATAATGAGTTTAAGGTGGCTTGACCCAGTATCATTGTAGGTACACCTTCCATCTTTGAGTCTCTTAGACTTAAACAAATTTATCTTTATTGTAAAACCATTATAACACATGTATTACAGATAGACTAAACTTTATTATGATATAATTTTTTGGGCGATCAGAATAAACATCATGTGGCAATGACGTCACAATAGTTTTAGCTTTAAATCGAATTGCAGCCCTTATTGGCATTTTCTTTAGAAATGCTTGACGCTACCTATACTTTGGGTCCTTATATTCTGTTGGTCGAAGTTTCGCAAAAAGGACATAAATTATGCATGAACTGAAGACTGGACTTAAGGCAGACAAATCTGCTAGTTTTTAGATGTTTCTGAAAAGTTGTTATCACTAGTTCGTTTTGTAAAGGACCCTCATACACTCTTCAACCGGCTAAGCGCAAGTAGACTTGCACAATTTCGAAAAACATAAAAACATGTGTAACATGTAAATGCTGAGCTCTTTTTGTAATTTCAAAGGCTAATTTCATGAAGACAGCGATTAAACCAAAATTCGTTGATAGACTTTCTTTAAAAATTCTCAATGCTGCAATTGATCAGTGTACTATAAAATCCCCAAGTTTCGTGTCCATTGAAAACTTTTTAAGTTGTCTAACGTAGGCGCAAATTTGAGTAAATATTAAAGCGATGTCAGAGTTGTTGAAAATGTTTTTGTTTTGTGATTTCCTATTATCTCGAGTTTAGCATAACATCAAATTCCCATGCAGCACGCGAGAATTTACCGCACCTAGTTACCCTCTGAAATCTTTCCGAAATATGGTAATGTTGTAGAAAGAAAGAAAACAATAGTAAATAGATTACAAAGGGCAACCAAACGAGGTAAATTCTCGCGTGCTGCATGAGAATTCGATGTTGTGTTAAACTTGAGACAAAAGGAAATCCCAGAGGTCTATGACATCGCTTTGATTTGCTCAATTTTGCGCCTGCGTTAGGCAACTTTAAAAATTTTCAATGGACATGAAATTCAGAGGTTTTAAAGAACACTGATCGATTGTAGCACTGAAAATTTTTAAAGAAAATCTACGGACGCATTTTGGTTTAATCACGATTTTCGTGAAATTAGCCTTTGAAATTACAAAAAGAGCTCAGCATTGCATTTTACCCTGATTCATGATGTTTTTGTGTTTTTTGAAATCATGTAAGTCTACTTGCATTTAGCCGGTTGTAGAGTATATAAAGGTGATTTACGAAACGAATGAGTGATAGAAACTTTTCGGAAACATCCAAAACCTGCAATAAGTCTGCAATAAGTCCAGCCTTCAGTTCATGCATAATTTACCGTTGCCTGGTTAGCTCAGTTGGGAGAGCGCCGGTCTGCTGAGCTGGAGGTCGCGGGTTCAAACCCAGGCCGGAACAACACTCAGGGTCTTTAAATAACTGAGAAGAAAGTGCTAGGCCTTTGTAATGACATCTGCAAATGGTTAGACTTTCTAGTCTTCTCGGATAAGAACGAAAAACTGCAGGTTCCATCTCACAACACTTTCACTGATTTGTTCTTGTGGGACGAAAAAAGAACCCACATCAGTTCCTCAAAAAGAGTAGGGGTCGTAGATTCCGGTGGTGTGGTCAACCTTGACGGGTTGTGGGATTGGGTAGGGATGGTACCTCGCATGAGACCTGAGTCCCATTTATGCACATTCCCTCTGGGTAGGCCTGTGTCCAGAAAAGCTGGTAAATAAAATAAAATAAGAATTTATACCCTTTTTGTAGAAATTCCAAGACATCTTGAAATTTCTCTTCTAGACTGTTAGGGCTGCAATTCGATTTAGAGCTAAAGCTATTGGGAGGTCATTGTCAAATGATATTTATTCTGATCGCCCAAAACATAATATCGTAATAAAGTTTAGTCTATCTGTAATACATGTGTTATAATGGTTTTACAATAAAGATAAATTTGTTCCAGTCTAAAATATTCAAAGATGGACGGTGTACTTACAAAAATACTGGGTCGAGCCACCTTAAAACAAAGTAAAATAGAAGTTAAACTAATAATAAAACTGAACAACAATATTTCAGGGTGTTAATTAGGCATCAGAGTTCGGAGAATACTCCGTTAACTACACAGAATTCTCTCGCTAACGTTCGATAGCCTACGACTATTTTTTATTCAGACGTGGAGCCTCTCTCAAATTATTCTCCTGCAACGTTACACCTTTCTCCTACTACAGTAAAAACCCGCAACTAAGAAACTACATTTTTAGGAGTTAGCCTAAACAGGTTCTTATATAAATGGTAGTCAACAGAATTTCAGGCTATTTAGGTTCTTAAAATGGGTTCTTAATCCTGGAGAAAAAGTAGTTAGTATGCTTTGTAAGTCTACATATCTCGCACTCATTTTTCTTTAAAAAACATTTTTACAACAATGGCAATCTACTTTTTTTGCTTCAAATATGATTCTTGCAATGCAGCTGTAATGTACTAGTATGATTTTAGAAAATAAGAACCTGTTTTAAATTTCTTAGGCTAAATAGGTTCTTGTTTATAACGGGTATAAATGACCAAGTTCTTAATTTTTAGGTTCTTAGTTGTGGGTTTTACTGTACTAAAATTCGTAAAAGCATTCTTAATGAAAACCCTGTATTTGCACTTTGATCTGCTTTACAACTCTAAGAATGAGCTGTAGGAAATTTAATTTGAGCACAACATAAGGCCTATTTGCCTTGTATGCCTTATTAAACTGTTAAACTACTGCTTGTTTTCACATTACATTCACACACGTCTAGCATTCTTACTTTGTAAAATTCAGCAGATTCTTCCAAGAAAGGTTTCTCAAAGACCTCTTCATAAAAAGTCCTTGAGTCGATTCCCAAGATCATCAACATCTGACAAGATGTCTTTAATGCCATCCTGAAAAAGAACAAAGCAAATGAGTTGAACAAAATGAAAAAAAAAAGCGCAAAAAAGGAAATGCAAGTGGTGAAATTCAAATGGCTGACAACATCAGTTACCAACGGTTGTGTATTAAATTTTTGTAACCTAACTTTCACTTTAAATCTTTCTTTAAATCGATTATTATAAAGGAACAAATACATACCCATTTTTACAAAAAATAAGAACGCGCTTACAGAGGCATTCAGTGTCGCCTGCTTGGAGATTAGATCGAGAAATGAGGAGACGATTAATTCTACAAGAAACACGATTCACTCGCTAAAGGTTTTTTACTTCCTATTTTATCGACGTCAATACTTGTTATTTGTGTCTGAATTGATTTAGTACGCGTGTTAGCGGCGACCAGAAATACCTCTGCGGTAGCAGGCTATACACGTGTATAAATACATGAAAATTCAAGGGCCTCGATTAAGAAATTACATCATTGCCAGATATCAAAAAAGTGATTTACATGGCACGTCATTTCAATCATCGCCGAAAATAAATCGCATGATCATCACAAGAGCCATTTGCATACAGTGAAAGTTTACAACACCTGACCATCGCAACTTTGCTAATTAAGATTCTTATTTTTTTTCCAACACTCTGTAGTGTTCACTTATTCCAAAGTAATAAACGCTTTCAAGCGATAGAATTCGTGGCCCGACACGTTTCGGAAATGCTCCAAATTTAATCTTTCCTTAGCTTTCTTCGCAAAACATGCGTGGCTTCGATCACGCAACGATTCTTAGTCCCAGTTTCCACGGTCTTCGCAAGGAACGCCTGCCACAATGAGCTCCCTTTGTGTCCTAAGTACGAACAAAAATTCTGGGGGGGGGCGGTACTTCTAGAAAAATCGGGTGGGGGTGTGCGGCACGCTTCCTAAAACCCTTACCGTATTTCAGACCAAAATCTGTGATTTTCCCTAACCTATTTCAGGCCTGAAATAGGCCCTGGAGCCCGGCGCGTGACTGGAGTACACGGTAGTTGGCGTAAACATTAAAAGGGAAATGGTCTTATCGCCAAATGATGAAGAAGTAGCTAATTCTTCTAAAAATCATACCCCATTCAAGACTAGAGTGCACAAACCATACCCTATTTCAGACCAAAATGGTCGAAATAGATACCCTATTTCAGACCAAAACGGCTAAAAAAACATACCCTTTGGCGCGGCACATACCTACATAGCCTATATGAGGGACTACCCTCACCCTGGGGCGAAAAACGCGTTGCAGATTATGAGTCTTGCTGCTTGCGCAAGCGAGACTAATAAATGAAATACAACAATTAAAAAGCTAAAGAACACTCAAAATACAGTCCATTATTTTATACAACTTGCTTTGAAAGGTTCTGTATTAATACAGGGTAACTGGTTTGTTTGGGTTCTCAAACTTGATGTTGTTACTGTAAACTTCCGCTTATAAGCCCCCCCAGTTACAGGCCCAGTTTATGAGCCTTCCTTACATGAAGCTTCTGTTTCAAATTTATTGAAATGACGTCAATTTATTACGATGCTTTGAAGCTTGATTTAAAACCAATAAATGCAAAAAATATTTTGATCAGCACCGCTATATCTTGTTATAGCACTTTTTCTATTCCGGTCATAGGCCCCCTCAGATATAAGCCCCTCCATTTATAGGCCCTCACAGATATAAACCCCTCCATTTATGGGCCCCCTCATATATAGGCCCCTCCATTTATAGGCCCCCCCAGATATAAGCCCCTCCATTTATAGGCCCCTCAGATACAAGCCCCTCCATTTATGCCCCCCAGATATAAGCCTCTCCATTTATAGGCCCCCTCATATGAAAGCCCCACCATTTATAGGCCCTCACAGATATAAGTCCCTCCATTTATAGACCCTCCTAAAACCCCTTACGAAAATGCATAAGCCCAGAGTTTATAAGCAGCAGTTTAAGGCATTTTTGTATGAGGCTACCATACACTGGTAATATATAGTGTATACTGTACCTATCCACAGCCGCTTCTCCTGTACGCTCGCTTCTCACCAGTGTTAGCAAAGTCTGACAGAGATGATCTCTAATTGTATCATACTGTACAACCTTAAATAGGACACAAACAACAATAAAACAAAAGATATTTTTATGCAGCCATTTATACTGAAACAGAAACCACCACAAACTGACAAAACAACTCCAAAAAGTTTCAAAATCTATATGTATTGGTATCATGGGTATGAGGAATGATATCAACAAAAAAACTAACCAAGTCCCTGAACAGGATTAAGCCTACAGTGTAAACATTATCAACTCCCTTTGGTCGAACATACCATTTATCCTGAAAAAAAGATACATAATATTGTAATAAGCCAAAAAAGTGAGGAGACCAGTTCTTCTTACACTACATGCAATAGTTTTACTCTCAAAGCTATTTGGAAGACCTGAAACATTTTTTTACCTTGTGAGCCTGCAGAAACATTAACTTGTTAAATCTTATGGCAGGGATGTAGATAGAAGCCGTCAGCCGAAAAAAATCACCGGCCATTCCGAATAATAATAAAAAAAAGTAATGACGTAGTTAAACCATTTTTAACTTGAAATAATTCTTTTAATCTGAAAAATGAGCATAGTAACAGCATAGAGAAAAAAAGGAACAAAAACAGGAACGTTTTTACGGTATATTGTGCACTTTGTTAATCCAAATATGTGACTGTTAACTTTTAAGGTCATCCTAAGGTACCAGGGCCTCCTATTCCGAGACTTCTTGTGATTATTTTTCTTTTTGTTTTTTTTTTTCCAATCCGCCCGACCGACCCAATATCAGGACCTTTTTGTTTCATTTAGGAATTTTTTTATTCATTACAAGGATAAATCTAGTTATGTTCTGTAATCATTGCTCGTGACAGCGAGGTTTGGACAACATGGGATTTTACATTCAGCCACATGAGCTTATTTTGAAGAGCCAATGTTGCTTCTACAGTTGACTCTCTCTTA